AATTAATTTTATGTAGTAAATATCAGTACAAAGGCAAAATCGAAATTCATTTAGAGCAAAAAATGTTTACAAGGTCCTTTCAAAGGGTTAAAAAATATCACGGGTCATATTAAAACGAAGAAATAGAAATTATTTTACATAAAAGATTTTACTTTCGAGTTAAATATCAGAACTAACTGAAATTCCTTAAGTTTTTTTTTTCTTGCTCAGGGATGGAAAACGTTTACACAATCTCCCTAGAACTAAGCCTTCGGCAATACCATGAAGGAAGGTGGGAGGGTAAACAACAGATCTTGGGTATTTTCCGCAACACTCTTGAAAGACGATCTGCAGTGAATTTAACAGTTTGTCATACTTCGAGTGTGATTTTATTACGGAAAATTCACCGTAAACTCCTCTACTAATTTGATGCGTGATTGATATCACACATATGAAAACATTACATCAAAAATAGTTAAAGAGGAAACATCAAATAAATATAATACAGAAGTTAAATTAACATATGGATTAAATAAATGTACAGATATCATCCGGCCTTCTTTTACATCGCATTGCTTCAAAATATTTTATCGGAACGAATAAAGTCATAAATTTAAACATGATACGTATAGTTTTTGATACTAAGTAATAAAGAATTAAAAGTAGATTACACTCAGATAAAATTCGTACCCTTTTTAACATAACCTGCTGTGAAAGGGAAAAACCTTGACCTATTAATGTACATCTTTTACCATAGGAACATTAAGCACATTCTAATTAATGACTAACACAGTATATGGAATAAACACTTTTTCTAAGAGTACAGTGTTTCGTCATTTTATGTTTTTTTCCTTCATTCTTTCTTTTTTAGCGAATGGTTTTTCCTCTGATAAACATTTTTGAATTAAAAAAAAATGAAATAGTAACTTTATATAAATCAGTATCCCTGAACAATAGTCATAAAATTCTCTTGAAAATATGGACCCCCCCCAAAAAAAAAAACCCATAAAAACTGAATCTTAAGAGAGAGCTGAGATTGAAAACTGTCATAAATAAATAGCGTGTAATGACAGTTGACATACACCTGTATCAACAAAACAATTGGTTAATAAGGCTGAACCAACAGTCATATCCACGTGCCCTTGCAACATTCGCACTGAACCTTTGGTAATCAGGGCCATGAGAGGTTACCGTGTGGATAAATAACGAACAGCTACATCTAACGACGCTCAAACAGAATCAAAGAATGTTTGACATATTCATGTATTTCATTGTACAAGTAGTTCCACATTTACAACACTTATCATTGATTCTCTGCTCTGAAACTCGCAGCGGAGGGAACTAAGATACGATACTATGAAATACGTATCCTTATTCCGGACAGCGGGAATAAGCGGCTTGAGAATGAAGAGCAATGAATTGCAGGCAAATGCCACCATCTACATTCTATTAACGAATAGTTTTATTCACTTCCACCATGCCTTTTACATTATCTACCTACTGTGATTTGGGTCGACAAGTTCAATGACAACGATTCTATCATCAACATACCATTTCCGAATTCTAATATCGCTTTGTTACTTAGTTGAGCTGGCTTTTCTTAAGTTTTCAAATTGTTTAATAATCTTATATATTATTCCAAGGTCAATTTTCGGCGACATAATGCATATATGCTACCTTCACAGCAAGATCAGATTTTTCAACCTACCTGGCAGCAAACTTTGTTTCATAAAATGCAGGATCGCAATGTACCGAAGATTCATAGTCAGACCAAACATTAGGACAAAAATACCAAATTAAACTATCAAATTTAAGTAATATAAAGTTGTATTCTTCCCCTCAGGTCCCAGGGGGTGAAGTCTGGAAAAAACATCGCAGAGAGGAAAACTGGCGAGGCACGACTTTCGATAATGCCTCAGCACTGTGATGTGAAATGCCCAACAGTTGAAATGATGTACCATCAAATGCCATTCAGTTGTAATGATGTGCCACCAGCATCTTTACACATAAATAACACCATTAATCGCCATTAGGATATTACTTGATTGAATAAACATATGTTTATGATGATTAAGAAAATGTTCACAGGTCCCTCTTCGTCTACGTTTTAAAACTGTTTTGGGATTATTTTCTCCATATAATTCTGAATTCTTATTCTTTTAGAATTGAAATTATTTGATCATAATATTACATATACTGACATGAAAATGCGTTCATTGTATAATTACTTATTTTTCTTTTACATTTTTTACATCCAATTTAAAATACATTTTTAAATACTATATTAACATCACCAACTCCCAAAATTAACCTTCCATGTGTCCAAAAGTCCTAACAAAACCATTTCATCCACCTCACTGCTACATTGTTGAAACAATAAATCGTGAAGAAAAAAATCTTATTTGAATAATTTTGTTAACTGGGATAACTTTTGAATTCTATCAACAAAGTATAAAACTATCACTGGAATAAACGTTTTTACAACAGTCGTATAACCTAGCAGAGACTTCTTTTGGGAAAAAAGTCAAGGTATAAAAATCGCATAAAACAATACGCCAAAATCTTCACTCTGGGCGTTCAGATATGACCGATTAAATCTGCAGCAAAGCCTTTCCAAAGAACATTATAAATCACATATGTTTTAATATCAAACTTCAAAATACCAAGATATCGTATAAATGTTTTCCTATAGCCTGACGGTGAAGTCACCGATAACCCTAAACAAGCAACCACGTGAAAAATGGCTCACGGAATTTTATTGAAACGATGAAACGGTTAATGCTACTATTAAATAAGATTAAATGATAAGAAACTGAACAAATCATAGTGTATCGTGATGCGAGAAACGGTGATTGCAATAAAATCAATATTAATTACCAATAACTTGCATCTCCATTTATCAGGAGCCTTCAGTCACAGCTGGGCGTGGATTCAATTCCAACAAGCTTTATCAATATTTTGCATTTATTTTTGACTGCGTTAAATTTACAAAGAAGACAAAAATTATGATAATATCAATTAAACGGATATAAATTCTAATAAAATCCCATTAGATAACTTAAATTTCAACATAAACGATAAACTCCTTTTTACCAACAAAATCTTATCAATTGCGATATCTTCATTTTCGAAATTCCTCTAATCTGTTAAACTGGTTTTTCTCAAACATCAATATAATACAACAGAGAGAGACTACGTTAGTTTACAAAACCATGTATATCAAAGTAAACCAGCTGTTTCAAATAGATCATAACCTTTCTAATTCATATTTCATTGGTTTAAATTATGAAAAATGAGACAATTATTTTCAAAATTCATTTCGGAAATGTCAAGACTTCCAGTAAGAAAATGGTTTCTGGATTGACTACTGGATGGAAGAAATCAAAAGATAAAATCAGAAAAAGTAGTAAAGTTTTAGACAATGTTCTCCCTCCCCCTGAACTGTGGAGACAGGGCCATTAGTGACCCCAGTAGTCTCCCATAATTAAGGACGAGTCCAGGAATCAAAAGTGGCATAAACTCGTCAGCAGTCCCATAACCAATGAGCCGTGAAATTGTTCAGCCATAACCACAACAGAGTGGGTGACATTCTCATCCAATTTATTCAAAAAGTAAACATTTTGCAGAATTTGAGGAAACCTTATATCAGAGATTATCAGAGAGATTAAGAGTGCAGAACAAAGTGGATGATGAATGATGATATTAATGCAGGAAACGTTTACCATCTGAGCATCCTGTTCTGGGATAACAAGAAACTCGACCTCTTCTTTTTTGTGCAACACAGAAACAAACTTTAACGTTTAATATAACTTGTGTATGTGCATACTTTAATAAAGGATTCATTCTTTCTTCTATATGATTCAGGTTTAATTTGCATTCAGATCTTTAATGCTAACATATTTTTTTTTCAACAAAATTCTAATGCAGACAATCTTGTGTATAAACTTAAATAATTCAATTTCGTTTGTATTCTAGCCTCTGATTGGTTAATATCCAAAAACGAACACAAATTATTTCTGTATAACCTGGTTTGGTATGGGGACACACCCCCTGACAACCAGCTGAATCACCTGTATCCATACAATCCTCTCATTTCCAGTCCTTGGGATTCATGGAAAATTCCAGATTTAATAAATGTACCTTTAACTTCAAACAATAATTCGATCTTACCACATGTAAACAAACAACAAGGCTGCTAGGCCTATGTATCAGTTTTTACCTCCCCTCGCTTTATTTTCAATTTATCTCAAAATACCAAATAAATACCAAGTACTTTTAAACCATGGTTAAAAATTCTAATGGTCTTTTCTATTGTACTACAACAGTTTTCATAAACATAAGGAAAAGAATACAATCACCCGTCTTACCAAGAGTAACAAGATTTTTTTTTTTTTTGGTTATTCCACATGGCAACAGATTAATATACATGAAATACGTTTCAAAATTTTAATATCTTTTCAATGACAAACAGCAGTTAAATTAAAGTTGGTTTATTATACCAACTTTCATTTAACTGCTGTTTGTCATATATCAGAAGAAAATTGACCTAAGAATATGTCTTTTTCTATACCCCAAACACACAATATATTTGATGATTCTTCATTTAATGCATTTTAAAATGATGTATAATATGTTAAAAATGAGTTTAAGAAGTGTGCCTCTGCAATAAAGATTTTTTTCTCCACATTACATGTAAATTACCAGGAAAGACCTAAATGGTATTCTTTAAACAATTTATAAATTACTGAAATTAATATCATGTGTTATACATGTATATAATATATGTTTTATGGCAATTTTACCATACACATGTATGTACTTGTAAATATTGTCTATGATATGTAGTTCCCTTGCCTATAATAAACTGAACAAAAGTAAAGTGGTGTGTACTGGGTTGAAATATTGTTTGAAAAAAAAAAAAGACTTGAGTTGGTGTCTTGTTTTCCCCCTACAGTATATTTTTGATATGTTTCTAGATTTAGACCAGTAATCTGTATTTATACATGTATAAAACTTCCCACCTGCAGAAAGACAGATTCCACCATTGGGGAACATAAGGACACTTTCCACTTGGTGACCATGCTGAAACGTCATCACAGACTCGTTCATCCGGGTATCATAAAGTTTGACGGTGTTGTCGTAAGAACCTAGAGAATACACAGAACGCATTGATCTTTATTGATTTATCAAAGTTAAAAGTAAGTTTTAAATTAGGGTTACAAACAGAAAAAATTACTGATACCCGTCAAAATAAGATCTGAACAGGAGGAACTGGCAAGACCGCAGCGGACATAATCCTACAAAGACAAGGGTGTTCCTTATTTAAAGACTTTCTTTTTAAAAGACATCAATGATTTTAATAAGAAATAAAGACAAACTCTAATGAAGTAAAAGAACATAATCTGTCTGAAACTCGGGCTTTTAACATTCTTCGTAGCTGAGAATCAAGAACAGAAAATTAATACATTATGACCCTTTGGCACCAGCATACTACCAGTAAAAGAAAATTAAACATATGGCAAAATGGTATAAAATATATTCCATCTTGAAAGATATGAACAAATTGCAAGCCTAAATACCAATTCTAATTCAAGAAACAACGTTTTGGGGGTTCTTTTGATTAATGAGGGAGAGTGCCCAGCATTTGGGGACAAAAATGTTCGCTATGGCATTTTCCAGTTTTCGCAGTTCCATTAATCAGCAACATAAAAAATCGAGAAGTGTATCTTATGTCTCTTATATCATTAGATTTAGACAAGAAATGTAGAAATGTTATTTGTAATTAGATTAGCCGCCTTGACAAGACGCAAAAATATACGATATAATGTTATGTTATTAACATCACATTGCAATAAACGGCTTAAACAAGTACAATATGTAGTGGACCGGTACCAGGAATGGCGTTAAGGGGGAGTCTCGGGAGTGTCCGAGAGGGGTACCCTTCCTCTAAGCTTGATTTTTTAAAAAAAAATAATAAATGGGTACCGTTTTGGTAGGTTCTGGTGCATTCTGGATGTCATTTTCAAATATTAAATAAATAATGCAAATCCTAGCAGCACTACTTCAAAAAAACATGGAAAATGTATTAATTTTTTGTTTCAAAAATTATATTTTCAAGTTTTTCCTCCAATGGGAGGTCTAATCGCACCATACCTCGACGAAAAACCTAAACAGACTTCTTAAAGAAATACAATATACATGTGCATGTAGTTTTATTTATTTTCTAAAAATTATATCAAAGTACTCCTATAAAGACGAGGATGGAGAAAAAGTCATTATTGAGCAAATCCAGTCTCCTCTCTAGTGAAGGGCATAAAATGTATCAATTCACTTGAACACTTATGTTTACTTGATTAGAAAATACATACTAAAAAGTTATGGTGTCTGTCTTTCTTTTCTTCTTCATAATCTTGGGTTCTAAACGGTCAACTAGAACCATTCATGAAACAAACTGTCACCAAAATTCAAGTATTTTATCTCTCATGGCAACAATTAAAATTATCATTTTTCACTAAAACGACACACACACAGTTTATTTTGGAAATCTAATGTGTTCATAAAAATGATTCGTGTTTTGCAAATTTGCGTGAAACAATTGCGCTGTTTTTACCACATTGTTGCAAGAATTTTGCAGTAGTGTGCACTATATGACCGTACAGGAGTGAACAATCGGCAAAATAAGTGCACAGTTTATGCATGTAATAAAGAACTCGTAAAAACCAGCACACAGCTTCAGAATTGCAGGAATATCTACTTTATATCTAACCACAATTTATAAACAGATAAATTGATAAATTTGATTGGTAGGGGTTAGTAATTTTCACCATGGGGTTGTGAACATGTTGATCTGTCATCAAGTGCTTTGTTTCACCTCTCACACCGAAGTGTTTCACCTCTCCACCACCAAAGATCCGGACGTCCCTCTAATGTCCAGCCAAAAACGTACATAATAATCAACAAAGTCAAACAAGAACTCATAAGAAACAGGGATTTCTAGTTTAGCCCTCATCAATCAACACGCATCTGTTACCGCCAAATTCTAGTCACCATTTTACTTTCCTTATCTCTAAGCCATCACCATCAATTGGAAAACGGTTACTAGATTTCTAGTTAACAAGCTCTCAGATCACGAGAAGTCGATTAGAAATGATATGGTGATTATGACCAAGTCTTTTGTTGTACCCTATGAAATCTTTCGGTGACAATGCCACGAAGGCACCGTGTTCAAATTTTACTTTTTTCATTTAAAAAAAAACAAAAACAAAAAACAAGAACTAAAAACAAACAAAAACAAAAACAAAAAACATTACTAATCAAAATTGATTCAAAACTAAAAATTACAGATTTAATTTTTTCTCATAAATTGAACAAGAAGAAAGAATGGATTTCCTTTAAAAATCAAATTTAACTAAGCCCATCTTTGCTAATTTCCAATTGCAAAAATGTACATTTAGCATCAAAATTCTTCATACAAAAAGTGGCATATTTTTGAAGGTTACAAGTTTATCAATTCCATGTGTTGATGTCGCCCACTGAGATCAAAATTGAAAAGAGAGGCGTACGGATGTAGTTGGCCATTGGTTTTTATGATCCAATGTTTTGATAGTCCACAGATATCATGCTCGTAACGGTAAAACATCCCGTCATAAGTTGAGGTTTACATGTGTTTTGATAGGAAGAGGTCAAGCATCTACGTCTCGATCTGAATGATCATTTTTTATGCATTAATCTTAAGGACTTGTATCTCCAAGAACTCTTGAGGTGCTCTGAATACTGTAACAAAGCGAGTTTTGCGCAGATCATTACAATGGGGTCGTATTTTGAGATTGTGTGGCTGTGAACAGTAATATACGAGTCCTTAAATAAAACAGTTCAGTTTCCCTTACTAGATTTTCAAGTCATCTTAATAATGTAGAAATTGCCCTAAACAAAAAAAAAAAAAAAATTTAGTTCAAATCTCAAAGTTTATTCACTTTTTTAATTTTTGAAATCTGACGTTTGTAATTTGCTTGACGTGTTGGCTTCTATACACATTTCTATTTCATGCCAAAGTTTAAGATTTTGAAAATTGTAACGTCAACCCACAAATCAAATGAAAATAAAATCAAGTGAACATTTTTATCAAACTACCTTACATAAAAAAGCTAAATTGGTATACAAAAAGAAACGTAGCTAAAACAACGTGTTCATCAGAGGCATATCCAAGATAAATTTTCTCCCAGAACTTTCCCAGTTTTATAACACTTAATAAAAATAATAGGTAGAATATCTGAATATTTCTGGTTTATTGCATCATGTAAATTGATTTTATATACCCAACATGAGGCGAGAGTTGACTTTTATTTCCGTGTCTTGACGCTTTTAACTGACAGCCGTTCTAAGAGCGAGAGCTGGGAGCTATCAGCACCAATATTTCTAATTTGATTGGAAGCGCCAATCTGACCTTGACTGGCCTTTATGCATTTTTATAAAATTTGAAACCATAAAATTTGCCACAAAAAATCTGGAATTGAATTCATCGCAGCATCTCGCGCCGCAGTCGAAGAGATCAAGTTGGCTTTTTTGTTGCATTAATGGCCAAGAGGAAGTCGCTTGAATTAAGTCGAATCAACAACTGAATGTGCTGCTAAATTTCTGATATACTGACACATTTGTTCCTAGTGTTTCCTGTGCTTAAGAAAAAAAAAATAGTTTTTAGTAATCGTAAAAAGTTGAAAAGTTCAAGATGCATTCTCTATTCATTCAATTGGATTGAGAAATAAAAAAAAATCTTTCACACCTTTGTCCTTTTATAAAAACAAATTTTATTTATTTTTTTTTTAAAGACAAAGGAAAATTGTGGAAGGAAATACATTTCATTATTGAAGATACCAATTATCTCTAGTTAATATAACAAAAAGAACATTATCTTTGCATTTCATTTAGAAGGAAAATAAAGAGGTTTTAATAAAATATCCATATGTGCATGAAATGTTTCAGGGGAAACATTGTAATAATGAGAGGATACTTTCCCCAAATAGCAGAGATATTGAAACGCAATAAAATCTGACGACTGGCAACAAGGCTCAGACTATGCCTGAAGAAGTGGCAGTTAAAATATCATTTAATATACTATGTAGTTGCCTAACAAAAATAGGATTTTAATTGGTAAAAATATTCATTAAGTCTTCATATGTAGAGAAATTGAGACATGAATATTGAAAATAAAAGAGCATCTTAAATTGGTTTAACAAAGAGATTGATCTTTCTGAGTCACTCACATACTGTTCAAAGACTGCATCAAATTCATAAATAATAAGTATAACGTCTAATGTCATCTTTCAATCTTTGCAAATGAAATGGCTTTGTGAAAGCCTTATATAATTCTATAACTGAAACTGAAAAAGAGCATCGTCTATTTCCTACATTAATTTTTCCAATAAATTAAGTTTCTCTTTGAAAAAATACACTGTAACCATTTCTTGAAATACAGCATTAATTGTTGACATTTTCAATGGCTTTCAGATTCTGTGTATGAAAAATTTTATTTATCTTATAGCAAAGCAAGTTTAATATGCACCATTAAAAATCACAATTATACTATGATCTCAGATTTCTTTAAACTTTATTTATTGGATAAACTTAACAGAAAGGGGGATAGAAAATAGAAAAGAGATATTAAAAAACTTAATGTTATCAATAATTTAAAAAAAGAAATATTAAATTCTATGTGAGAATGAGCCTTATTGACTATGGAAAAGTTCAAATTTATTTTTATGACTTAAACCCTGAAAAATAAAAAATAAAGATATGCATCATAAGTGACAGCTATAATCCCTCAGATGAGATATAATTTTCTATTTGACCTTTTGACCTATAAGTATGACCCTGACCTGGATAAAATTAAGCCTAACCCACTCAAACAGTAGTCTTATAATCACGTAAAAAGGCTACTGTGGAAGCAGAAATTTTTTAATGGAGATAAAATTCTGAAATGATTTTCTGTGGAGACTAATTTTATTGTTTCAAATATATAACAATATTATGCATATTTGAGAAACTTCTGGGTAAAAATTTTGCTAGGGGTTTAATTAAGCTGATAAATGTTATCAACGAAATAGAGGAAATTTATTCCCAATATGATATTTCTGCTTTTACAGTATTTCCAATAATAAAGCTATGGACAAATGGACCATGAAAAAAAAAATCCATACTAAAAAGGCAAAAAATAGCTACATTTTTTTTTATATCAGCACTATCACTGAACAAGACTTACTTTCACTTCAAACTGGTCCCCTAACTTACCTGGTGCTCTCTGTAGGACAAAACTTCCTTTTCACTTGGAATGTCCCATAAGGAGACACTGTTGTCATCAGATCCAGAGAAAATTCGGACTTTATCAGCTAAAAACTTGGTAACATGCACAGCCCTGTAACAAACACTAGTTTATGCTTTCTTCACCACAGAATCAGAGAACAATGTTTCTGTCAAAAAGTCATAAAAATTCAAATGTTTTGAAACTTCTTGGAAAAGTGTCAAAATTTTATAAATTTTACAGACATAATAAAATGTAAAATATTTATCACAATGTGTGCCTTTAAAAATATACAAAAACATCATAATTATTAAATTTTGTTTGACCTTTATTGCTTTTTTAATTTAAAGTCCAATGTAAATTTTTTGGTATCCAAGAGTGTCAAATAAAATAAAATCTATTAATGAAGATATGTCATCTGTATTCTACAAATCTAAATTCTAGTTTTAATGTGAAGTGAAAAGGCAAAGTGAATGTGGATGTATTTATCAGAGTCTGTATATTCATGGCTAAATTAACTTACCCAATGTGTCCTTTAAACAGGCGAAGGAGAGATTTACTGTCTACATCAAACAAACGGACTGAACCCTCATCACCCCCAGCAACCAAAAGTTTACCATCACTACGAAAACTGCCCGAGTAAGCTACCTCTTTAAATCGACTGATGGTCTTGTGGATTTGTAGGGAGGTTGGACTGTATACTTGTACCTAATGATACAATGAATGTCTAAGTCAAAGCATCTTAGGTAAATGTTAATACCTGTGTACTATGTAGATATAAAACATACATATATAGATCTGAATGTCATCAACTTCAAATTATTTAGTAACAAATGGGTTTTTCTTGGGGGGGGGGGGGGGGGTCTCTCTTTTACTTAATTGTCATGGAAATGTCTAGGAACTTTGACTTCAAGGAGAACCATACACTTAAGTTTACATTCACAGTTTGTAGAAAGACTTCACTACTTTGGAGATATTTTACGTTATATTACTAATATAAATACAATGATAATATGTTACCTTTTGAGAATATGATGTTTTATCATTATAAGTTTAATAAAAAGGAAATAAATTTACAATATTCAAACACCAAATGATTTTAAATATATATATATATGTATATTTACATTTGCTGTGTTTTTCTACTAAGCCAACTGTGAAATTGATTTGAAAACCATTTTTATGTACACCCACGTGTAGAAATATACACGGAGAAATTCGCACTAAAGTGACGTCACAATGAGGCTACAGGATCGTTAATAAAAATATGACGATATAGGGCAGCAAAAAATTCAAACATTGAGTATATTTTTGGTGCATTTAAACATGTAAAATGTAAATATAAGGAATGTTTTAAAGTTTAGTGTGAAATATTGGTGTGTAAATCACACAGACTTGCACATAGGCATATTTATCATGAAGCGCTAGCGCTTCATGAAATATGCACTACGTGACAAGTCTGTGGGATTTACACACCAATAACTCACACAAAACTTAAAAACATTCCTTAAATATATATCATCTCACATGCTCAAATAAGGGTTGTCTTTCCTTAAATGGATAATTAATAGATTGTACATCTTCCAGAACACAGCTACATGTATACAAAATTTAATGTAGTTATAAAATACTCTGCTGTTAGATTAATTTATTTATCATCAATGTAGATCAATAAACAGATATATCGATACAAATTGAAGCATCCATTATGGGTTTAACATTTTATGTGCTAATTTACAACTATATTTACCCTCTCATAATTAACTAAGTAATTTCTTTTAATAAAGTTAAATAAAGTTTAATAAAGTCTTGTTATAATATTTCATCAGGTCTTGGACAAAATTACTTATACATATATATATAAAATACATGGTTACTGTCTTGAAATATAAGCCACTGTGATATTTGGTTGAGGGTAAGAAAATGTGATAGAGGGCAAGGGTTGTCCAGCCCTTATGATGTTTTCGACCTAAGCCAAAATTTCACTTATATGACCTCCAAAATGAGCTATTTCAACAAAATTAGATAATTTCTACAGTTGAAACTAGTAACCCATAGTATAAACAATGTAATATATATGAGAATGCTCAGAATTCTTTTTAAGAGGGCTGGGTGGTTGTGGCCATTTTCAGACTATATTGATCTCCTTTAGAAGAAGAGCTCCATATAAAGATATACAAAAATGATCAAATTTTAAAACTAAAATGTCTGAAATTTTTGTTTGCCAAATGATAGTTGACAGCTTAAGATATCATATCTAAAAAATTAAGTTATATCTGATGGTTAATTTGTTGACCCCCCTAGCCTCCTTAAGGATATCGGAATGAATGATGCTATATTTCCACATTGACCGAATACATGTACTTTGGTTTATTAATTAAGTTACCTTTATTTGGTCAATGTAAGCAGTAGTTGCAGGATAAATGTAGTTATAGGAATATATTTACGAATCCCCATCCCCCACCAGCAAGACTTTACAATATTACTTACTAGGTTTGTTACTGACTGTCCATGGAAATATGATGGGTTATTCAAATCCATGGAAGGTGAGGTGAAGCCTTCCATGGACTTGGACAACCCATCATATTTCTGTGGACAGTCACTATCAGCAACAAACCTAGTTCATAAGTGTTTCATTGTGTTGAGGACCAATAACACAGTTATAACCTACTGAAATCAATTATTACAATTTTAAAGAATTTTTCATCTGTGCTAGTTGTCATCTTGTTGTAACTGAAAAGGGGTGCTACTTTAAATTTAATAGCAGCATTGCCAAATTGATAAGGTGTAAACACACCAGTTTTTTTTTAGAACCTAACATAAGGCTAGCATGATTTTTTTCTGTAAATTTGGATGACATAACATCATTTAATCCCCATATTGCAATCCAGATTTTGCTTATTCCCATTCAATGAAATATTGAAGTCAGGAATGTGACATCCATTATCCAATGACAGAGTGTCATTCTAGTCCAAGGCAAAACAATACTTTTTTTAGATTCAGCTGTAACTCAATTCATCTCTATACTAGTTACCTGGTATACCTGTTCATACATTCACAAACAATGAACATAGATGAACACAATCTAAAATTCTCTTGTGATCAAGCTATCTCCAATATGTTTACAACTTTTTTTTATTCAATTAGACGAAAAATTTATAACCAAATTCTGTCTATTTTTATACTGTTTATTTTTATGCTCTATCCATGCTGCAAAACTCTTTACATTGTAGAGTAATACTCTGTTCACACAGACTGTCACAGAGAGTTTAATTTGAATTAAACATAAGTTACTGCAAATTAAATTTGAACTGCATTCACACGGGGAATTTAATGCGAATTATTGGTAGTTTAATTCGAATTAATTTACTGTGCATCAAATTACTTTGCATTAGCTCAATGTGAACGCTAAACAAAGCTAATTTGAATTTAATTTTGACAATAACGTCAATGTAATGGCAAAATTAAGTCACATGCCACATTTTGGTGGTCAGATATAAGAACTTATGCTATTTTTAAGTGAAAAACAAAGAAAAAATATGTTAATCACTAAAAATGTGTACAGACACTATGACATTATTTCTAATGTATATCTTCTCTGCAGAAGGTGACGTAATTTGCATATGACGTCATAATAGCCATAATCTTTAGAAAAAAATTTTACTTTGGATCAGTTAACTTCATATTACTGTCATGTGAACGCAATTTAATTCACATTAATTTGATTTACATTATTTTACTGCAAATCAAATGATTAATGGGCATTTGTATGAACAGGGCACTAGACTTACCCTTGTTGAATTAGTTACAGCAAAGTAATGAGGACTGATGGGACAAAAGTCAATATCTGTTATAGCTCCATACTCTTTCTTTGTCACTGGTATCTATAATAAAAATGTAATGCATTTCAATTCTCATGCAGCAATCATATAAAATTTGATTTTTTTTTAAATCAAAATATGCCCACTTGGTTTCATATAATTTCAGCAATATTGCATAAAACAGATAAAACCCTATCATTCTGAGAGTTTTTTTTCTTTTTTTTTTTAGCACTAGCCCCAATCAATCTGTCTTAACAATACATAAATACAAGTTGGATTTGGATTTTAATCATTTGTCATTCAATAATAATACAATATCTCAAAGTTTGATATGTAAACATACATTCAACAGAATTTGTTGATAATTTCCGGTCAGTTGAGGGTAATAACTCTGTCAGCTAGGCAAAGACTTTACCTGCTGCCCTATCCCATTAACTTTTGTGAATAGACTATTGTTTATATTTTTGTTATAATATTAATAAAAAATAAATAAATAAATCTGTCGATAAAACTTTAATTCCATGAATATTGTTTCTGATCTGCAATTCTTTCTTGTACAACTATTTTCTTAATCTTAATTTCATATTTCAAACTTATCAAAAGAAATTTTTTATAATTTTGACTTAAAATATTATCCAAACGATGTCAATAAAGGAAATTCTGGCTAATGATGGAAAGCACAACTTGTACCAACTCGATCTAATAAAAAGAATAAAAATCATGCGCCCAAATGAATGTGCATAAAATTTAATAATAACTTACATCTAAATTCTTCCAATATATGGTGTCTGGTGTTGTTTTCACGTCAACACGTGGTTCCAAATATTTTGCCGATGTTTTCTTAAAGGGAGCCGCCATCTTTGTTTATTAATCTCTCTTCAAGTGAAGAAGCATATCTTCATCTATATACTTATTGTCATTTTGCGTAATTAAAAATACTCGCCTACAATAAGCAAGAAAATTTTCTTCTCATAAATTCTTTAATTATAAATTGAAAATATTTGTCTTATTCATTTGACTTTCTTTGAGACTAAATAAATTTGATAGGCCAATAAGTTCAAGGGGGCGTGGAAATTATATAGAACCACGTGCGAATAATTCACTACAGAGTATGCATAAATTAATCTATTCCAATGACTGGATAGGATTATTTTCATTGATAAAGTGTATATTGTAATTTGGGCCCCAGACATATCGACGGAATTAAGGGACGGACACAACATTTGTGAAGAAGTTGGCAATCAAAGAAGATGTCGAAGGGAGAAAATAGTGAAGGGAGTGTGGTAAGTCAGCCTGTGTTTACACGCCTATTTATTTGTGTCTGAAGTTGTGCAAGATGTTTGTATATTTTTGGCAATCCTTTCACCAAATAAAACTATTAAATTTATATTGCTTTGATATCATAATTTTTATACTTCATAAAGTCAAGCTTATACCTGGAGTATGAAATTAACATTAATTTTTGTTACTTATTTTTAACTTTAAAATTTATTTATAGTTTCTATAAAGTAAATATTTTATTTGCAGATTTACAGAAATAGATATAAGATTTATTTGAATTAAATTTTTTTTTTTATTTGACAGATAAAGCCTTATTAAATTTATCAAATTTGTTTTCTCATAATTATTTCAATTAAAAAATTATAAACATGAAAATAAAACAAAGTCCATTATTTCATGGGATAATGCATTTGACAATATTATGTAAAGCTTCATAATGTACGAGTTTTGTATCAACTTTTTGTTTTATTATCCCCTCATAAATATGTTTAACTGTAAAAGAATATATCCCTTCTGTTCAATGCATAATATTATAATCATATGAACAATATAATTAAAATATATATTATTATATAAAATAATTCCTTTTTTCTCCCACATTTATAGTCCAACGAAGATTTGAACGAATCAGAGATGTCAGACAATGGGAGTGAAAGTGGGGACGTGGGACCCCGTCGCTCTTCCGACAAGCTGGACAGCTCGGACCGCGAACTTTACGAAAAACTCAAGCTCCAGGAACGCGAGGAAAGAGAGGAAATAGAAAAAGAACTGAAACGGGCTCACGAGGAGGCGATAATACGCCGTCACGAGGAGCTCCGCGCAAAGGAACTGCGGTTACATGCCGAGAGGCTCTCACAGCTGGAGTCAGAGAGGGGCCAGGACTTACGTGTAAACAAACACCACGAGGATTTCCGCGCCCTCCGGGACGGGCACCCCCTCACTAAATCTGACTCCTCCTCAAGACTCGATTTGTTGAATCATAGTGCTTTCTTAGACAGAAATTACCATAGGGCAGAATCTCTGTCCCCCCATAGTGCTACTTCCACTTCTCCTACTGGCGATGGCCCCGCCCACCATTGGACCTTTGAGGAGCAGTTTAAACAGGTATGAGAGTTTTAAATTCCACGTTTGTTCATTCAACAATTCAACGTTTTACTTTCGATTGCGACTTTTATGGTTTTTAATCTGCTGACAAGTCTGTAGGACCTAATAAATTGTGTAGCATATGTAATATAAACCCCCAAAAGCGTAGTAAATATACAGGATTAACGACCGTGGGGGTACAATGCAAGGGATTTTCTAGCTATATAACGCAGAAATCAGCAAATTTCAATTTTATTTCTTAATTTAATAACAATAATCCCAATGAATCGATTTCGCTACAAATTATATCAATTTCCCTGGGTACCTGTGTGCCTTAATTTGTAATTTTACAAAACAAGGAATATTCCGTGATCCAGACAATTAAATGCTAAAGTTATCGGCTGTTTCGTTTCATCATAAAATTCCAGTACTTGAAAATGAATCCATTTTATGAGCACGGTAGTGACTCGATATGTTTCCTTCAATCAAAATAAAATGCATATTATCAAATGAAAATTTGATGAACATTTTGTAGTTTGATAGGTACTGAATATCGTGGAATGATTTTACAATTGATTGAAAAACAATTTTCTACCCATTTTTTCTCTTTCGACAATCTACCTTTAAATCGATGGATGGAAGCTTAATCAATCGGCAGTAATTTGTTGTATTAATTATGCATCAAATTCCCCCATCTCATCCATGGAGCGATAAATTCGGTTTTTATAACGGATTGCCCGATGTAACTAATTTCTTTGGCCATATGGTGTATTCCCACTTCTTGAGAAAATTTTCTGGGCCCTTACTATTCATAAAAGCATTTCTATTGACCTATTGTAGAAATATTGACATAATTCTAATTGTATTATTCATAAAATTTTTATACAAACTTATAATATCTATTTTGTGATAAACTTTTCCTATTGAAATGGTTAGATATAACAGCTTGTATTGAAAATCGAACAAGTATTATTATTCAGCCAAATAAGCGAAGGTGAAAAGTGAAAATCATTTTATCCCAATCGATGACATTGCGGGCAAATAATTAATTTCTGCATTTTATCAATACCTTATCAAATTCATTTTCAAAATATTTAGATTACAAACATTTATTTACTTAGGGACCCTCTCAAGTAGAATAACATTTGTCCCTGAAGCGGCAGGTAATTTAAAATTCCATGGTACCCTTTCTCTAATGGAAGGAAGTTACCCTGTAAGAAATTACATATTTAATGTTTAACGACTTCAAATTTAGGACCAAAAGATACACGAGAAGAAAGTCTATATTTACATAAGAATTTAAGCACAAAGGTAATGATATTCGCTCCTTAGTTGTCATTATGTAACTGCTAAATTACATGTAACTTCTAAGTTTGATTAACAACGCGTATTTTTTGTTTGATTTTTTCCCCCAATGTATAGTCGTGTAATTCAACTCGTCTTTCGTGTCACTTTGTATGTGCAAGACAGAAAATTTTTACAACACAAAGATTCAATTGAAAATAATTATAAAGACTAATGAAATATTAATCAGTATTGAAAACGGATTGCAATTATATCGATCATGCATTTAAGAATATAATTTTATATAAAATACAAAGTTGAAAAAAAAAAATCAATGATTTCGCCCTTGTGTCATGAAAACAGAAGGTACTGTGGTAACAGTCGCAAATAAGTCATTTAAATATTCAATGCCTTCTAAGTTTTAGTGCTATTTTGTGACAAATCGCAAAATACAATTTTCAAAAATTTCCTTTTAATTAATTACAGAAATAGGAAGTACATGCACATTCTATGTGCAGCAGAGAACAATGCATCTATAGATATGCAACACTTGTACTTAATTGTGCAAATCTGCATTGTATTTATTACTTTTCTCAAGTCAATCTATGCAAAATCAAAAAAAAAAAAAAAAAAAAAAAAAAAAGGTGAAATCCAGGATTTCTTATAAATAATTTAATATAATGTCTGCATTTATTCACTGCCATAAAACAAATGCAAAATATATGGAGTGTTATCTAAAGAAATGTTTTAATCCAGAAATCTTGAGTCTTAGATACCATTTATAATTAAAGCAATTCGACGATTTTGAAAATGAATCTTTAAAAAAAAGAATTAACGGTACTTTCTCGTGGTCTTTGAGGGATTCAAAAAAAAGTTTCAGTTTTAATGCACTGATCAGATCACACGAGCGATATATTCAAAGATTTTCAATGTGCATTTGCGAATTCTATTCAAATTGCATAAAATTTAACCATTAACTTACATAATTAGTGTTTATCAGAAATTTTTTAACCATCTTAAACTTAAAGTTTCAAGGTCTCTGACAAAAGTGTGAATCCTACAGCTACAAATGTATTTTTAAATCAAGAATCATGTATCTATGATTTCGTAAATTTATGTTTATTCACATCAATTAAATGTATGTGTTTATATAAATTATTAATTCGTTATTTTTAGCAATAATTTCAAGCACAGGAGTATTCTATCAAAACAGAATGTATTTAAGGAAGTAATCTCAGTGAATTAAAGATATATTAGCAAATACAGTATGAAAACAATACAACATGTAACAGCGATGTTATCATAATGGACACTATCCAGGCTCTCTCTCTCTCTGAATCCTTTTCTCAGTTTTTCATTAACTTTTATTTCAGAAGTTGATCAAATTAAAAAAAAAAATGCTTGTATAAATAACATTGTCAAAATGTTTTCACTTGAAATATATATAAGGAATGATTGGACCATATACAAACAGATATATTTAAACATAATGCCATTTAATTATTGAAAGGCATAAATAACAATATATGCTTTTAAATGATTTTCTTAAATAGTTCAAGACTGAAGTTGATATACATTTGTTCTGTATTTATTTCTTAAAAAGTTTGTCTTATAATACAATAGGTACAGTTTTTAAATAAATTTATTACATTCTCGATACTTGCTTTGACAAACCTGTCTCCTCATTTACTTCTAAAGTTACCTAATTGCACGTTTACAAAACAAGATCTGCTATAAAGCTTTTGACCGATATGTGAAAGTGTTGTTTTTCTTGTAGGCTTTTTCACAACTGTACGAGCTCAGCGATGATCCCAAAAGAAAAGAGTTCCTCGACGATTTGTTCCAGTTTATGCAGAAAAGGGGTGAGTAGTTTCACTTTTTCTTCGTCATGATAGGAAAACCTGCATGATTCTTGGACATTAAAGAAGTTTTATATTCAAAGCAGTATTTCAGGGATTTGCCACATTTGTGTGTGCTTGTAAGACATATAACCTTCTTTAAACTTGTGATTCTAAATTTTACTAAAATAAAGTAATACATCATCCACGTTTCTGATCACATGTTTTAGACTTAAAACGTCAAAAGATAATGTCATTTCTCAGACAACATCCTGCTTTTTTTATTACTTATTAGTAAGTTTTTACGCTTCCAGTTCTCAGAGACAAATTTTATACATTTCTTGGAAGTGCCTAGTTCTCATAATGGCCAATAAGTATTTTCTGCAAAGCTACACATTATTATAGTTCACGTGATTATTGAATTACGTGCTGCCTTTTTAACCCTATTATACGAATAATATCTTTCGTCAACAAAACCAGTGACCTTAATACGACGTAATATTTGAAAGATTCTCTCATATCTCTTAAAATCTGCATCAACTGTCATCATTCTGGGGTGGCTCAGACTTTCTGCTCAGATGACGCATGCGCATTGCTTGATTCCTGAGGTTTTGGTACATTTCAACGACACAACGGGCTGCATGGCTTTTTATTCTTGTCTTAAATGACATGCAATATTACTAAATTATAATTGCTTCATATCATGATATTGTACAAATTAAGAAGCGAGGGATAATTATTATTTGAGTTTATTTCAGTCATCACGACATTAGATCATATAGAGAGTTAATAATTGATAAACCCCATTCTATTTGAAATTGGTGTTTTGTCATTTATTTTACACGTATAAAATTTCTTCTGTTACTAAACCATTCTTCGATGCAATTATTTCAAATATGTTTAAAAGAGAAACAACTGATGAAATTGAAAAAAAATGCATTAATTTAATGAGCTTTTTTTTTTTGAAAAAGAGGTATTCGTTTCAACAAGTATAGAAGTGGGTGATTTTATGACACACGTGCTTCCAAATGGGAATTAAAGTTTAAATATTAAACCCAATAAAGGTTTTCATTGGCATTGCCTTTGAATTGTTTTTTTTTCTTTGGTCATTTGAAGTGGTTCACCGTTTGTCATGAGATTCTCTATCACTGAATCTTCTACTACATTACAATTATTTTGGAGTTGCTTTATTTCCATGTCCAATGGAATATTTTGGATCTCAGGAAGTAATAGCATACAAATTTCTTGGAGCACTTGAGATGATGGTATTTCGGTCGGAAGATTAATGCCATCCACAGATATAATAAATTCCATTGTCTCGAAAGATACGGATCACTTTTGCAGCTGGTTATCAAATGTTGGAGCTTGGTATTCTAATAAAAGAATTATTTTCAATCAAAATGACATATCATATGTAATCAAGAAAATAAATCAGGAATTATGAGCTCACGTTATACGCACGTCTCACGAGATTTGACAGTTGAAGGGGAGGTTCGCCGGGATAGCTTTTTATACATCTTTTCATCCTGTTGACTTTATTACGAATATTGCTTGATTCACCAAAGGAATATGATGTTATCCAAGCTCTCATAGATAACTAGCAAAGACCGAAAATCCGCGAGAATCCGCGAGAACACTTATCTCCATTCTTGATAAGGACTTTTATGAGCACTGAAAGGTTTTTGCATTGTGTAAGTGTGTGGTATCACCTTTTATCGTGATCCTGAAAGTATTTCTCACCAAGCTGTAAAGATACTCTCTAAGATTTTTACACAAATTTAATGATGACATAATAATCAAATGATCTTTTGGTGGATCAAAGGGCACGGGAGGTCCTGTCAAATTTGTATCACGTTCTACAGATTTTATTTAAAGTACTCCACGAACATTATTCCTTTTATTTTGGGTTTATATGTTCGGGGGTCTCGATCGTTAGGCATCCTTGCCAAAATTTTTGTATAATTCACGAAAAAATACTAAAATGTTTGTTAATTCACTTTAATGCCAGGGCTAATGTTTTCTTAACGAAGTACATGTGAGGAAAGTGACACGTGACCAGATATGCATTCTTTTCTGTCAAACTTCGAATCAAGTTTTCATTCTTAAAGCTTATCCAACAAGAACCTAATTCAAAAAATATGGTTTTGATTAATTTTGTTCCCCTCCCCCATAATAACACACATCGACCCACTGTCATATTTTAATCCTCTCCTCATTTCAAAACTGCTTTTTATCGTCTGCAATCAGATTATTTTTTTAAGGGTTAGAAATAACATTTAAAAGAAATTAGAAAAAAAAATCCTCAAGTAAAACAGGTATAAAACATGAAAATCACTTTCAATACTTATCTGGATTCATCAGATGTTTCTTTACGATTTATAACATAAATATGAAAAGAGAGGAAATGCTTTTTTGGGAGTTAACTTTTTTCTTTTGATTGTCACAGCTATTGGGAATTAACAGAGCTAAGAATGAATTAGTCTCTATCTCTTTACTATCCATCAATGCATAAAAGATGTTCGTGAATTTCATATTGATATGGGAGGCTCCGGACAATTAGAAGTCCTTCTTTTATTGTCATCAAATAGAGATTTGTTGCCGGTGTGTCGCTGTGCACACAATTGGAATTTTCTCTAATCGGGGTAGAATCATTTGATATAAAAGTCGTATCAGCCGTAAATTGTCGAGGGACGATGTGTTCACGAAATTGCATGAGAGCTCTCGTTAACCGACCATAAAAACTGCAGCTATTACTTCATAGAATACGATCAGCAAAGTCTCGTTCAAAGAATGAAATGAAAAATTCATTTAGTTAGTTGATTCCTTCACTGGACATTGAATAGCTCCTTTTATTGCAAACTGGGACCTTTGATCAAATCATATTTTTGGCTTGTAAATCTAAGAAATTAATCCGCTCATGTATTTAAAAACAAATTCGAGAGTCTTAGAAATTTCGCGACTTTTCTTTTTTTCCCTTTTTTAAGATCAAGAATCGAGGGTCCGGTTTTGTATTTTTTTTGAAAAGTTTGCCTGTATGTATTTTTTGTAAATTTAGTTTCTTTAATTATAAAATCATATTCATGTCATTATAAATACATGCATGGGTTGATGACATTTCTCCGCTCTACCTCTATCAACAGATGTTATCAGCATTAATCTTCAGCAGATTCCTTGTTTCTGGAAAATTGCAAAAGAATTTAGCATAAAATTAATAGCAAATAATTTCAATTCCACCATCCGCCACTCAGACTGCGGACGGTAGCTCTTGTTTCATTTTAATCGTAAAGATGACCCGTTAAGAATTTGGCGGTCACGTGCGGCCTTTGTTTGCCTTTCTTACTTATTTCGTTCTCTTATCAAGAAGTAATTCGGATTATTTGTATAATCTCCCTGCCGAACATTTACATATGAAATGTTATCTGCAGATCATTTTAGACTCGAAAGATGTATCATCATTTTTTATCTTTTTCTTCTGTGTTGATAGATCGCTGCGCAATTTTTCGCAGGCATTTTTTTCCTCTTTTGCTACAACGGTCAAATACATTGTAAACTTGCAGACTGGACACACACAGTGTTCATCGTCTAAAAATCTGGCTTTTATCTCGGAGAAATGTAGGGGGCAAAATAACTTCACTAAAATTTCATTAAGTATAGATGCATCTCTTTATCCCATGTTTTTAATAACATATTTTACCTATCAATTTTATCAGAAGAACGTTCAGAAATGTTTTATAATCTATAAAATTTTAATGCTTAGTGTTTATGAAAATATTTGTAAAAATTTACATGTATTTACTTTGTACATTCAAGAGATCCAAGGGTCATATTATAGCCAATTATGATATTTGTTTCGGAGAAGATTTTTTTTTTCAATTCGAAAGTCCATGATCAAAGTTCTGAAAGTTGTTGTTAATGTGAAGCCACTGTTAAGTTTTCTAGGAATAAAACAATAAGAACATGGCCCATGGTCAACTTACAGGAGTGCCTGGTGTGGATAAACGTGTATATGACATGGATTTTCCGGATTGCTCTGTCCGCTCCTTACTTAATATTTAGACAATCCGGAGCATTATTATCGTTACTAATTTAAAGGAAATTGTCATCCCGGGTTAATTATTCTTTTCCTACAAAGATTTAAAAAGGCATTGCCATTTCTCTGAAAGAAAGCTGAATGTGTATAAAACATGGTGATTTTATGCCACAATAATGGACTATTTTATCCGATTACTGCCAATGTAATCCAATGTCTTATGCTACACAAAAGGCCAATACATATTAAATTGATGAATAATACATCGCTATTGGCGTGTCTTAGTACCACTCAGCTTGTATAAGACTCATCATCAACTTGATTATTCCTATAACCCAATCAGAAAATGTATGTGATCTCTCTTATTAGCAATGGTCTCTAAATTTATTAGCAATCCAAATTCCATTCCAGCGATATAGCCTATGGAAATAGCAATAGACTGTATGAAATATATAATGTTATGTTGCATCATAATGCTCTTTTTGTAACCAGTAAAACAAGTACATAAGAGTTCTCCATTTTCAAATGTTCTAGTTTTAAAGTTAGTCTGTGTCATTTTACTAAACTGAGACACAGAAAATCACCACTTTAGGAAGTAGGAACTAAGGGCAAAAGGTTTGTTCTGGATGCGTCTCAATTTCGATATGCACATGGATTAAGGACTTTTAAAATTATCTTCTTTTCAAATAAAATATAAATAAAGAATCTTGAATTGTCGTTGCATTAAATTCTTTAATATATGAGTCATAAAACAGTTATTTAGAAAGCCAGATACTGATATTATGTCAGAAATTAGGTACTTTTTGATAACATCTCTATAGAGTAGTTTGCTTTCTTTCTTCGCGCAAATTGATTTTCTGTTAAAATGATGCTGGAATTAATTTTTTTAATTTCTATAAAGTTATCATCACAATACATTTAACTCTCCGATCAGACCGTTTCATGTCAAAAAACCCATGAAGTATCCGCATATGTTTTCCCAATAAACAGGATT